CATATTTTGAGCAAGACGAATCTCGCAGTGGACTTGCGCACCATACATCATGCGAGCAACAAATGATGCAACCTACATAGCCAGCTCTCTCTAAACATTCAATCTAGGGAGAATTATTCTTCAATTTACTTCTCTCAAGGAGCAACAATTTCAAAAGAAAGATTACAAAGACAAAAAAAAAATCACGAGAAATATTATCCAAGACAATCTATGAGAGCTGAAGGTAGACATTTCACGGCTCTCCAGCATAGACTACGTTCAAAGCGTCCGAACCCATTTCACAACCCGTGCCCTAAAATATCTACATCATACAACCTCTGATCTCATCCACCACCCGGCATACCAAGCCTTCTCAAACATCTCTAAGATCATACGGCGAAACCACCACTACCCATCACCAGCAAAGGCCAGCCCACACGCCAAGATCGACACCGGAACATGGCAACGCGCATAAACTCTCCAATGCCACATCATCACTACCCCAGCCTAGAGTCTCAAGATTTCCTTCCAACAGAAGCAAGAAAAGGACGGACGAAGGCGGTCCGCCGCGCGAATCCAAACCCGCCTCGAAAGGCAGCAATCATTTCTCAACGTTCCATCCCCCCCCCCTCGCAACACCACTCCACGCGCGGGAGGAAGACCCAATCCACCACCCCTCCCCCCACCAACGCACCGCAGCACGTAAGCCCGCCTACCCACCAAAGAGTCCAATCCTAAACAGAACAAAATTCGCTCCCAAAAGCAAAACCACAACCAAGAGCAGCTCAAAGCAACGAGGAACGAAGCACCATCTTCGCCGCCCGTCCGCCGCAACCAAATCGAATTCCGCAAAAAAAAAAAAAAAGAAGATCAAAACAAGAAACTCAAAACGGAAAGAGGACAAGCAAGGAAGGAAGGAAGGGAGCTCCCTCCATCGCAGATCAAAATCAAGGGAAGAAGCGCGTACCTTGAAACGGATTGCCGGGACGAGACGAACGCGAAGGGGGGAACCCGAGCTCGGAATTGGCGGATTCGAGCTCCTCCTTTGACCTCTCCCTTCTCCCTCTTCTCTCTCTCTCTTTTCTCTCTGGGAGCACCCGATTTCTCTTTCCCCCGGTTTCGCTTTTTCCCAGTCCAAAGTTCTCCTCGCATATTCTCTTTTTTAATTTATTTATATTATCTCGACCCAAAAAAAAAATCAAAAATTTTGTCATTCATGTTTATTGTTGAGATTGATCGAGGTCGTGCCCGAAATAGAATACTTAAATATGCGAATCGTGTTTCATGTTTTTGGTAGTGACATTTTAGCGTCACTGGGGCACGTCGATTTTTTTGCAAAATTAAATTCGACGAAGGTTTGTTGTTGAATAACCGATTAAAAAAAGTTCACGTTTTTTTCCTCATTTTATGGCTCTTCTGTCGAATTATTTCGAATTTAATTTATTCGATAAGCATTTTGTGATCATGTGTATGTATGGCTCGTTTTAAATTATAGTATGCATTGTCCTTGTATCTTTTTTTTTTTTTCGCGAATTTGCTTTTAATTTGAAATTATATTTCATGGGCTCGCGTAGGAAGGGGTGCATCCTTTTTTAGTTTTTTTTTTTGTGTGGAATTTTTCTTTTATTTATCTTGAAAATATGATATTACCGTTTGTACATGTTTGAACGTTCTTCGCTTCTATTTCTCCTGGTAAAGATATGTTGATATTTTGATGCGATATAAAGTATTGAAAATTTAAATATCGAGGTTGTTAATTAAGGCTGCGAATGACAATCATTCTGTTTCAGAAATCAATTTCCGGATATTTCTGTTCCTGGACGAGTTTCTAAGCAAAAAAACACATTTGATAACACGGCACAAAATTTATGTTTCCGAAACAAAAATTTATTTAATAACGACACAAACTTCCTCCCTCTCGGGTGACCGGCTAGTGGATGGCAAGCGGATGGTGGTGACAGACGGTCGGCGGCGAACGGCGAGGGGAGGCGGCAGCGAACGACAACGCGGCCAATGCGGAGGACGCCGGCTAGAGGCGGCCGACGTCGGGCAGCGACGGGAGGCAGGCGACGGCTAGCGGCGGGAGGGGGGCGGCAATGGGAGGAGGATGGACGGTGGCAGCGAACGGCGGGCGGCAGACGATGGGGGGAGATGACGGCGACGTGGCCAGTGCGAAAGACAGCGACTGGAGGCGGCCGGCGTCGGGCAGGGGCAAGAGGCGGGTGACGATCGGCGGCGGGAGGGGGCCGCTGGCGGACGATGGGCAGCAGCAGGAGGAGGGTGGCCTCCGGCCGGAGACGGTGGCCAGCGGCCCACGGCGGCTGGCAGCGAGAGACTGCGAACGGCGGGAGGCGGCGGCCGGCAAGTGGGCGGCAATGAGCAATGGGTGGGCGACCAGCTAGTAGTGAAGGCAAGCGATTAGAAGAATTTCTCATTTTTGTTCCAGAAATAAATAAAAAAAAGTAGAAAATTTTTACTTCTCATTCATGTTCCAAACATATTTCTGAAATCAAAATTTGTTCCAAAAAATGAAAAATGAAATTGCGTTACTAAAAGGATTTCTGTTTCAAACTTGTTTCTGGAATAGAAAAAAAAAAGAGAAAAATTATCGTTCGCAGCCTAAGTAACCGCCAAAATAGCGGGTTTACCAAATAAAGTGATTGGTGCGATTTTGAAGAGAAATCACGTTGAAGACTTTTTTTTTTTGTTTGGGTCGACCCGTTCACATTTCTCACGCAGCTGCCACAATAGTCGACTCCATGCTTTAATATAATTTATTTAGATATTTATTATACTTTTATTTTATTTTATTTTATTCTTGTTCGCTGCTATCTTACTTTTTCAGAAAAAAAGAAAAAGAAAGAGAGTTTTAAAGTTGCACCGTGTTGACAATTGTCCACGCCATGAAATGCTTGTTGGGCCAAAAGTCCAAAATCGGGGATTAGGTTTTGAATTTTCTTATTTTCCCTTTTCTTTATTTCTTTTATGCCATTTTCCTTCCCCTTTTCTTTAACATAACTTTTATTTTTCTCTAAAATTATTTTTTTACGTATTTCTTTAATCTTTTTTTTTTGCCTTTGATCCGTAGGACAAACTTAAATTGTTAATTAGTAATAATTCGTTTACTTGATTTAACATCACATTCTTCTATTGCAATGATAAACATATGAAAGAATACGATTGGCTTGGCTATTATACTTAAATTAGTAAATATCCGTCGAAATTTCTGATAAAACGATACCCACCGCAAAGCTCAAGTTTCCACTAATTAGACATATATGAGAGTTCTTAAAAGTAGCTCGATCTTATAATTCAGTATGTACCAAAAATTTAAGATTTAAAGTTTCCAACTAGGTATCTAATTGACAATTTTCAATTTAATGAGAATCTTATAACACCAAAATCGAAATAGTGACCTTACTTTTCACCTTCTTATTTTCACGTGGACGGATCTCTATATAAATAAAAATGAAAAAAAAAAAACAAGTTCTTACAAAAAAAAAATGAAAAAAAAAAACAAGTGCAAGGACATGTGCGTTTTACCTTTTAGGGCAAAAGTAAAACGATGCTATTGTCGATACAGCTTCAATTTTTTGTTTGTTCCATGATTCCTAATGATATTATGTTGCCTTTTTTTTATTGTAATTTAACGTTTTTCAGTATATAACTCTTTTTTATTGATCTGCGCGAAAAATTGGAGTTAGCTATTATAAAAAAATAAGCATTGACTTTCCATGTACAAATTATTTAATTTTCATATTTTTACTAATTTCTATATAAGAAAACACCCCCGAGTCATCCCTTTAAAACAAAAAATATGTTCATAATTGTCATGCTGTTTTGCGAATCAAAGTTGATAGATAGAAAGGGTCAAAGAATTCCACATCAGCATATGATTCTTGATTATTTAAGAAGGATTATGAGTAATTCGAAACTTCTAAAGTCATCAAGGAAGTTCACCTTGTAATTTAACTGATAAGGACCTTTTGCATATCAAACTAATTAGAAGCTCCTAATGCCATGAAGGACTTTCTCCATGTTATTTAATAGATAAGAACCTTCTTTTTTCTTTTGCATATCAAACTAGTATAATCTATATACTTTATTAAGAATTAGTGCATGAAGAATATCACCACGATGCTTAGTACCCCCCTCAAAGTTCCTAGAAGAGAGGATAAAAAATAGTACCTTGCAAGATATGCTAAGGGTACGTTTGTACGAAGAAAAATTGTTTTCAGCAAATTATTTTTTGACTTTCCTGTATTTGGATGACGAAAATCTAACTCATCTACAGAAAAAGTTTTCCATGAATTGAAAACAATAAGCTTAGATTGGGGGAAAATGACATCTATTCTAATAAATTACAAAATAAATGAAAACTAACAATTTTACTTGAAAATAACTTTCACGAAACATAACATATTTCCCTTTATCATAAAATTTTTAGGGAAACAAACGCACCTTAAGTAATTAAAAACCTAATGAGTACACATGGCAAAATATTCCGCACCCTTTTGGAAGAATTCGTTATTATATATACCAGTCGTGAATGCTCGCAATGTGAGGATATAAATATTTATTATTATTATAAGCATCACGCTCAATATGATATTTTTAAATTTTTTTTGCGACATAATATCTGGACTCGACTAGAACCGTAACAAATTGTGATTTATTTTGTTATAAAACGAATCGAATCAATGCTCAAATTTGTGTTAGGATTTCATCTTCATGGTTAGATGCGAGAAGTTACATACCAAGAATCAGTAACTACTGACAACTATGTTTAACTCATCAAACGGAAAACATTTTCCTGTTTTTTAACACTGGAGGTACACAAGCTCCACCTTCTGTAACTCCACCGCCACTTTCCAAGTCAGCAGTACATCAAAAGAAGAAGATAAGCCTCTTCCATTGAATACATGTTTAGGCACAAGCAGAAGGCCATCCCATAGGTTTCTAGTCGACAATGTCATTGCTAAAAACGATCTGATCATCAGTAAAGAGAGACAAGCAGCCTGTGTAACCCAGAGTTTCTTTCCCATGATTGCCTAGTCTTGCCTCTCAATGTGAGTAATATCCAGAAAAAGAAGATAGATTTCCCTTCTTTTACAGAGGTCCATCACATGTGCATTACAAAAGGAGCTTTCAAAGACACTTTCGTGTCGTCGCAAATACAAAGTTAGCTCTGACCGTCAAACCATAAGTAACACCAGACCTACCAAACAGGTGCTAAATCCGGTAATCACGAGTATGGCTGGTGTGAAGACGGCAAACCACCACGGATATGAGCACCATATTTTGGCACAGTGGAGTTGTAAGAGGGTGCTGCAAACCTGTCATGATGGGTGTGCTGTAGTCCTTGATCACTAGCTTGATAAGCATACTCAGACTGCCCCGGAAGTTGATAATTTGGTGCAAACCTCACCGCTGGCCCCAAGTACGGCGCATTTTGGCTGAAGGCGGGAACTTGCCTACCAATAGCATTGGCTCCTGGAGCACGAGATTTATAAAATCCTCCATTTGGCTTTGGCTTTTTGGATTTTTGATTCCCCCCGTGCTCTCCAGCCCTTTTCTTGTCGGATTTTGCTTTCTCTAATTGAGCGACTCTTCTCTCGAGGGGATCTAGTTGGTAACTAGCCTCAAGTCCATAATCTTTGACACACTTGATCACAGCCTTGAGCGCCTCAAGTTCTTGTGCATTTGCTTGACTCTGTATGTATTAAGATAGATAAATTACCAACAGATAAAAATATTGCTTGCAGTATGTACTACTCGGGGACAGAACAAGTACCGATGCAATAGCAGCACCTTCCGACTTTGCACCTGCCCCCTGCGAATTTCTCCTCAAGTCCTTCAAGTATGTCTTCAAGAGGGGCACTGGGTGAAATCTTTCAGTAAGCTGAAAAGCATGTATAAGATGTACGGCATCGATTTGCCGCCCACTATTGATAAGAGACTCAACAACACCTGCACCAGAAGATTGTCTTAGGAGTGCAAAGATGGAACAGCTCTCTGAGCATATAGATGAATCTGGTTGTCTCATATGCGTAATTTCTATCAACTGTTCCCTAAACGGGAAATGAGGGATATCTTACAGACAATCCATTTTCCAGACCCCATAAGGTCTGTCAGTTGTGAGAAAACCAACCTGGAACTTTTTCAGTTAACCCAAGAGAACGGCAAAGCTCAGGAGCTTGCCTGAGGTGAGCAACTGCGGGAACAAGCTTGCAGAGTTCAGCTTCATCAAACTCTGAAGCAATATTAAAAGTCGAGAGGAGCTGCAAAAATGCTTCTGCTTCTAATGCATTCCCATCGACAGCATTAGTGCCATCACTAAACAACTTAAACTTCCACTCATCAGCAATTGCCTTGGCTTGCTGCTTTATTTCAGGGTTCAGAAGGTGATCAGCACCTGATTCAACCCCCGCCAAAAAGGTGGCCATGGCTTCCATAAAGGTAATACAGGATTTTTGCATGCCCTGAAGGGCAGCATCCCCCCTATTTTCTGGTTGGTCTGTCTCATCTTGAGAGTAAAAACCCCCCAGTGAGTCCAGCACCAAACGGGCCGGATCTGTTGCACATCGTAGAGCAACAGAAAGTTCCCGAAAAATAGCATTTAAGTTATTTTGCTTCTTCAAAGTAAAATTCAGAAGCCCTTTTGCATCCATCTGCTCACAAAATTGTATCAGCTCTATACAAGGCTTGACATCAGTCAAGCCTTCAGCTTCATCAATGTTACTAGGACAAATATCCTCTTTTGTACTTGCATCGCTAAGAGGGCCACTTACCTTGCCATCTTTGATATTGCCATCATCAGCTGCCTCAGCGTTAGATTCTCGGTGATTCATGCGTGAATTTATGATAGCAGCAACTGCAGCATTTTTTAGCTCCTGCACTCGATCTAACATTTCCTGTTCCTTTGCCGCAATAGCCGCCTCTCTCTCTGCCAAACTTGCCTCAGTCTCAACTGTTTTCGCCGCAATTTCTCTCTCTTTAACCTCAAGCTCATCAAACTTTTTTCTGAACATAGCGTCAAGGTTGCGGAAGTGCTCCTCAATTTCATTCCATGCAACTTTCTCCTCAGAAACGCGCTTACAGGCTTCCAGTTCAAGAAGTGCCTTGCTCAGCTGATCTATCAAGGAAGTTACAGTATCATCTCCAGAAACTGGTTCGGTTTCTGCCATTGAGGGCAACTCTACAAATTCAAAGCAGATAATCAACATACTTTTCACTTCAGAACACAACTAATACATCTTGGTGACAAAACAAATAGGAGCAGTGGGGTCTTAAGCTACGCCACTGCTCAACCTTTGAAATTTTGATCCTATGATGCTTTAGCACTGCCACGACAAAGCCAAGCACTACACAATATCTTCAGAAGGCAAAGTTGGAAAATCTTTTCACCAGTAACTGAGTCAAATCTCCAAACTCCTTCCTTTATCAATTTCTGGAGAACTATCCACTAATTTACCCTATTTAATGTAAGATTATGAGCAACAAGTTCTGGTTGAAATTAATAACAGGTTCATATTAAAAGTCAGGTAGCCTACTTGAGTTTGATTCTCTCACTCTATACATGCAAACCTCCTTAAATTGTTGAACCAAAGTTGGAAAAGGGTTTCCTTTTCTTACCTAGAATTGTCTTTGACATTTAAAATAAGAACGTAAGGTCATTCCTCAAAGTAGAAGATATCCTGAACCCCGCAAACTAAACAGGCAAACAAACATTTCTGCTCATGCTGCAAGTATTTGTAAGTTCTGGTGGTGTCTTGCTAACTTGAGTTAACAACATAACTATATCCTCTCAAATTTCATATTTTACAAGCTCAAAGACCAACAGTTCCAGAGAAATGACAGCAATTATCTCGCAAGCCATGACTTCACATCCACAGTTGGAATACAAATGCAAAAACTAGTTAATCTTGCACATCAATTAAACCATTTACTTTAACAAGACATAATAAGTAAAATTCTTTAAAATATGCAGTCTCAACAAGTTCACCCCTTACTGTATCAATTATGAATTATTAAGTTCTTAATCTACACAACCTAGAGTGCATGCTATGGTTAGGTCAAGATTTGTTTCTCTGGAGTACCCATTTTCCCCTATTGATTGGGTCAAGATTTTCTTCCAATGGCATTTGTAACTCCATTTAAAGACAATTATCCATCAATTTCTCACTAAAATTCCTTCTCCAAATCATTCGTTTTTGCTAAGCTACTTTGCAACTGCAAGTTGATTATTTTTGGCGACACTAGCCAAAAGACATTAAAAACAAGGTCCCATTGAAGTACGACCGACGCTACACAATCTGGACAGCATGGTAAGGTTCTATAAACTAAAACTTCTTCCCCTTATATTTGTCATCCAAATGTTCATTGTTTCAACCACACCACTATGATTGACCTAGCCTTCAGCAAAAACTCCAAGTGCTACTGAAAAAGAAAATCAATTCAACTATATACGGGCTTATGTAACTTCATGTAAACTGTAAAGATTAGATAACCACATCGATGGATAACCACCGGATGATAATGGTATAGAGCTTTCTTTTCCTAATAGCTAATAGAACATATCTGAAATCAAAAAATTATACAATGTATACCATCGATAAGCAGGCTGATGGTTAAAATGAGAGAGAGAGAGAGAGACACACACACACACACACACACACACACCCCCACACACAATGTTGAAACGTGCCAGACTGTTGTTTTCATCATGGAAGATGCAGAATGGCAAACACAAATTGAAGGAGAACATCCATTTCCTCAAAACATGCTAAATATGCTTGTTGATCTGGAATATACACATAAACTAGCTTTGTTGATCGACTGTTGCCAATTAAAAAGAGAAAATATTTCTTGCACCACAAAATGTGTAGGTAAGAGATATGAAATCATGGGTAATGAGAAAGTACATAAATGTGTGGCAAATCAGGAATCTAAATAAAAACAAAAGGTTTAGCAATGGAGTTGCTGACTTAGCCAAAGAGGAGGGGACCGTCTAGAAAGCCAATAGTTAAAATTAATGATGGATGGTAGGCCTTTACAATCAAAAGATGAGCTGAACGATGTTTTTCAGATTGATAGTTGAAGGGATCTTAATGTATCATACCAAAATAGTTATTTCCAGGTACTGTATTCTGCCAGTTACACCCTGATAACAAACCCCAAGAGGGGGAGAGGAGGGGATTGCAGAGGCGGTTTTCTTGTTAAAAGATGCGTATAAGGTGTGGGCTTTATCCTCAAGCTGAAGGAGAGGAAGCCTGTCCGATGGCCAGACCACCATAACATATAAAGGTCTCGAACCAAACTCATAATCCCTTGTGCAGAAGACAGGATTTTTCCTGGTCTTCAGGAATGGGTTTAAAATCCAAATCCAATGCTCTTCTAAGCTCAAAATTAGCTCCAACTATTCTAGACCAATTAAAATTGTATGTAAGTAAATAAAAGATCACAATGATAGTACATCATGGAGTCGCATTTCAATCATGATATAGACAAAAGGCAGTCTCTGAAGCAAGATTTCAATGGAAGGCCTCTGAACTTAAAGCTTTTCATCATCATTTCTAGCATCACAGATGCAGTTACATGCAATCCTTTGACGACTTACATTCCAAAGACATGAAAAGCGAACTTGGAGAATCACACGGGGAAAATAAGCTTAGTAACACATAAGCAAACCAACTTGTCACAAGAATCAGAAGGGCATAACCTAAAGATGCTAGCCATTTCAAATAGGTTTAATCATCTCTAACTTCAGGCATTTAAAATGTGACGGGCGCTTGGGTGGTTCAACTTCAACCAACAATTGAGCCAGCAGAGATCGCTTTCTAGGGTTTCTTCCTCCCTCTCAATCCAAAAGCACGAAAAAAAAGAAATTTTCTTTTTCTTTCCACGCCTCGACAGCGAAAAGATTGGCTAAACATTCATGAAAGGGCCAATTTGTCCCATTCAACATTTCCCGAAATCCCGAAGGATCGCTGCAAATCGATCTTAAAGACCAAGACAGGTCGTAGTTAGGTTTCCTTGCATCTTTTGGATACAATAACAATACTTATCACCACAGTTTCACTCGCACAATACAGGCGCAACTTCAACGAACTGCAATCATCTGAAAATATAGTACATTGAGTCCGACAGACTGACTCATTGCTGTACCCAACATCTTCAGGGGCGTGACCTGCAACAGGAACCATATCTTCTATTCCCAATTCTTGCAAAAACCCAATCACGAACCAAAAGCAGAGTTTTTTTTCTCGCTGATTTCTTGGGAAAGCAAACATACGGAAAATTCCTTATCGCAGTAGGCCGAGGAAGACGACGGAGCGCAATGGGTGAAACAGCGAAATCACAAATTGAAGGCTTCTTGTTCGAGAGGAGAGAAACTGCGTACCTGGAAATGCAATTGGGAGCAAGCTGAAACCCTACAAATTGGGTTGCAGAAGATGGTCGGAGAGTCGGATTCCCCCCGAAAACTGAGCTGGGGGTCGACCGGAGACGACGGCCGCTTCACATCCCGCGGCGAATCATTCCGTCGCTAGCGCGGCGGCGGAGCTCCGTCGGCTCTGTTCCGGTGAGGGTGCCGACTGAAGTGAATGGCCCAACGCCTTTACGAGTGTCCTGAGTAGGCAGGTATTGTTAAAGCGAGCTGTCATAACCACGGGAAAATTTCAAACAAGGATATAAAAAGTTGAATCATTTTTCTCAAAAAATGATTTAAAATGAATTTCGTTTCGAATAAGGATATGAACTGGGCCGGAGGAGTCTCAAATAAGGGAAAAATACATAGCTATAGGCAGAGGGAATCAGTTCTATAATCGCTTGCACACGCAAATTAGAGAAGTGGAGATAACAGAAAGAGAGCACAGTAGAAAATTCTCTTACTGGGCCTCTCTGCCGGACCCTTTCTCTCTCGGCTCGATCACCTTTAAAACTTCGCACAAAACCTCGATGTCACAGCTGATCGACATTGTCTTCCACCACCAGAACGCCGTCCGCTCGCTGCCGTTCGTCGTCGTCGCCGCCGAGCTCATCTTCAAGAAATACCAATCATGTTCTGTTTTGCCTTTACAATGGAGAGTATTGAGTCGAGGATCCCAACCAAGTTAAATCTTGTATAAACTTTGTACGGCGCCTTCAAAAGAAGATGATGATCGCTCTTCGGTGTAGAAAATAAAGAAAAAGGCTCGAGATTCTTACTACCAGAGATACTTAAATAAAGATTCTTCTATAGGACCTCTTGGTGAAGGTTGTGGAAAGTAGCAGTTTAGGGTATTAGAGCCATGGATTATGTGCCATAGTATCCTTCTAAGATTCATAATTCCATAGAGTTTGAAGCGAAGGTACCGCATCCGAAAGACGTTCACATCACTTAGTAGATGTTCCAGTTACCTTAACTCCATCAAATTCTTTTTGTAGTCTAAAGCCTCCGACATCAACTTGCTCTATGAGGTATCTTACCTCAATGAAGATGAGAAAATCTCACCTACTACTCTTCCTTTTGTAAATCCCAATGTTGCTTTTGCTAAACACACATCCTCCTTTTCTCCCATATGCTCTATAAGATAGTTAATCCGTCACACTCCAAAAATAGGTGAAGGAATATGTACAATCTACTCGGTTTGATCAACATCATGTTCCCACTATCCAGTAGGAATAATTTGTTACTCTTAAAATTCCTCCTGATTTCCTTCGACAATGGATCCAGTAATGATACACTCATATGCACTATGGTGCAATTCGTCTTGCTTTATCATTCCATTGTCGACAAGGTCTTCCTGTTGTTTTTCGTATAACTCTTCTAGATAGAAGCTTTCTTGACTACTGACACGCCTATATTGGGATAGCCGAGACTACTTTGAATGCTGGAATGGTGTTTGTCACCTTGTTTCCAAATTTCAATATGGCATTTTCAAACCCTCGACTCCTTACTACCCTAAAAGTCCAACTCCAAATTGTTGGAGCTCCCCAAGTATCAAATTCTGGTGTTGCTACCTTACACTAGCAAATGGTGTATAGGGTCCAAAACCATGCCATAAATCTATCACTCCCAGCATCAGAAGAAGCCTTAATGATCTCCGTGGATAATAACCACACAACATCTTGTATTCATTGTTGAGGTTGATGTCTTGTATTCTGTTATCCAAGAGATTATGAGCCGGTTCCGAAAGGCCCCCTGACGACTAGACAGCACGGGGGTCCCGCTCCCTGGTGAGCGGGCGAGGGTCCGGGGGGGCCGCCCCGGCGGGGGTCGCGGGGGCAGCGCCCTCGAGCCGCCAAAGGCGTTTTATGTTCAGTCATAAAAGGATTTATATGGGAAAGCTAAATATTTTAGGCTACGTGGGCAACTTTGTAATTTGTGCCATGTAGGGTTTCGCTTTATATATTTAGGGCGAAACGGGTCTCTAGAACAGAGGCAGGGGGTGAGAAAGAGTGGCTGTACACTTTTCTACGTTATTAGTGAAACGGATCCCTTCTCCCCGTGGACGTAGGTAGGTGAAACATCTCCCCTGCTGAACCACGTAAATTCTTGTGTTGTGCGAATTTCCATTACTTTCTTGCATCGTTGATAGGATCGAATTTAGATATTCGACATTCATGTCCCAAGACAAATTTCCAGAGATGAGTAACCTGCGCAATCAACCATGAAAAACTCCACAAGGATGTTTGTTCGGTCTAGTCCACTGTGTCAAATTTTACCAAGAAAAATGATGGCAATGTGGATATTAAATATGACCATGCAGAGCAGAAGACAGAAGTGTCCAGCTTTATTTTCTACACTCTTCTTATGGTCCAACCTGTTTAGCACCACCAAGAAGATGAAGAAGGTGGACCTAACCTCAAAATTTAGAAAGGTCCTCCGGTTCATTCGTTTGATGCAAGTGGTATTCCTATTTATTATTTCAAAGACCCGATTACAAGACACTATTACTGGGAGGTGAACTGTCAGTGTAAACTTTGAACAGTCCCTCTAGAAGAAGAAGATGATCGCCCTTCGGTGAAGAAGAAAAGAAAAAGGCCCGAGATCCTTATTACTAGAAATACTTAGATGGAGATTCTTTCATAGGACCTCTTGATGAAGATTGTGTAAGGTACCAGTTTATGGTATCCTACGTAGTGCCTAATCTCACTCCTTTATTACCTTCGGTCTCTTCACCACCTCCTGATAATGAGCCTAATGAATCACCAAAACCAAAGCCTCAGAAAATAGAGCCAAAATAAAAACCCATTTCCCCATTTTTCAAACCCTTTTACAAGTGGATTAGAAAAAATTCCTCTTGAAAACCATACTTACTCAACCTAGGAGCTTATCCTCCTATTGATCCGATACCAAATGGCAAAAAAAAATCCAAAAGCTTGAACAAGATATGGGAACCCAACTTCCTACTGTCTGTATGTTCTCTCCCGTTGAGTTTCCCCCTTTGACACCTATACCTCAACTAGAACAAGAGTTCGAGATAACTAGTTCCGGCTAGAGATTTAAGCATGTTGCAAAAGTACCAAATCCTTCACGGGTTAATGCTAGTGGAAATCCTAAGAATATTTTTGCAAGAGAAGCTGTTCTTAATTGGCAAACTAAAAATGCTCTTCTTCAAAATAAGGTGCTTGTTTATCATACTACTGCTCTTTAGCAAATTGGCACCACTCTTGGAACCATGCATGAACGACTTGATCATGTGCACCAAAGAGCTAACCAATGTGTAGAAACTTCCATCAAAATAGAGGGCATGATTAGAAACCCTGAAAAAAGGCATTCTATTTGGATAACCCGATGGAAGATATTGTAAAAGTAAAACAGCAGATAGCTGAACTCAAAGAGCATGGTCTTCCTCAGAATCTGAGACAACTAGCTGATCTTTTTGCCCCAATTGCTACTCCAACTCTACAATTTAGTAGTTGTCTTTTAAGCTCTACTAAAAACATATTTGCAGAAATCTCAGCTAGGCAAGACTTGGGAACTCGACGCCCTGTTATTAGAACTTTACGAGATCGTGTTCGAGACTCAAAAAGAAAAGGGGAAATCCCAGAATCCAAGGATGGAGATCCTGTTTAGATGAGCTGAATGGTTCTCAAAATATTCCTATGAGTCCAAGCATATTAAAGGAGACAATAATGTCCTTGCGGATCTCCTTTCCAGACCCAAAGAAGATTCTTCATTGTTTATATTCTTTTCCAAAAGTCCGACCGGTGGATTTCGAACACAAGACATGAAGCCCATATTCCTTAGTAGATTGTATCATCCTGAAGTTCCAGACTTGATCAAATCCAACATTCTTTTTGATAATTTCACAAACCTCATGTAGGGATATCAGTATAAGATCTTCAGAAAGTATGGTGCGCTAAATATACAACCAAGTGGCATGCATTCGGATTATTCGTTCATTCATCATTTGTCGTTCTCTCCAGATAATGAATTTCCGAAAGAACTCAAATGGTTTTACTAGTATGCATTTAATTGTTATACTTTTGTCATTCAGTTTCCAACCGAAAAGATGTCAAGAATTATCGACCAAGTAATCTGAGAAATTGGTGGCAGAAAATACCATCATTTTGCGGAAATACTTTGTTGGTTTAAACCCTTAAGGCTGCGTTTGTCTAAACTTTTAGCGAATATATGATTGGATAGGATAGGATATAAAATTCAAGGGATTTGCTATATCTTATCTACTAATTGGTGAATCGCAGTAATAAAGCTGGATTTTTTCATATATTACCATGCCCAATATTTGCTATGAAAATCGTATCAGTGTAAATGAACATGAAAATTGCATAAACGGAGATGATAAAAATTTCTCACGATACTCTTACCTACTTCATTTTTATTTGCTTATTTTTTTTAGTATTTTTCCCTCTCTCTTTAAATTATTTTCTTTTTTATTTCTTTTTTTTCCCTTCCATCATTCTCTAATAAAATTTTATTAAATAGTAAACTATAAAAATATGCCTAAAATATGTAATAAATATAAATACTAAATGTATTTATAAATATATAGATGAAATTTATATCATAAGATAGAAAGAAAAATGAATATATAAATAAAAATAAGAATAAATAAAAACGAATTTATTGTTATATATTTATTTTGAATTTTTTATATTAAAACTCAAATATTATTTTTATTCAAATATAATTTTAATTTTATTAATTTAACAAGTTTGTTATTCGAGGCCAATCCAAGACAACCCGCGAAACAGAAGAATCCAGTCTAATTGGGGCATTTCGACTTCTATATTCGAGTAATCCACTTGTGTTGGGGTCTTTCTTTGTTGGCAAAAATAACTTTTATATTATGGATATTAGAAATCCTATCCATATTTATCTCACCTCCTCCATGGGATAATTTTATCCGAGTCATATCCCTCTATATCCGACTTTATCCTGTCTTGGGCAAACACCAAACACGATATAGGATAAAATCTATCCTATCCCAAATTTTATCCCAACTACCAAACGTAGCCTAAGAGTATGGAAAGTCTTTTTCACGGAACAACTAAGAGCATGCAAGCCATGGATGTTTGTCAAGCTAGACAACAACATTTCCAAGTATCTAGCAGATATAGGAATCATGACCTATAAAGCTCAAGTAGTCCCTGTCAAACTTTATAAGACGCTCTCATACTATATTAGAGTCAATCCACAAGAATACAGGAAAATTTAGCAAGTCCTCTGTGAGACTAATTGCAACATTCTTCTAGTAGTTTGGCCTAATGACAATACTGATGTACCATGGGATTATCTAAATACAAAGCCCCTGATTAAAGCTGCCTTGGCGGAATTCAAAAAAAATAATCTAGACTAGCTATCATCATCAAAGGCCTCGGGGGTGGACCACTCTCTCAAGATCCTTTTGATTGTGGACTGTCATCAAGCTCAAGAAACACCTCATCATTGATGAATGTGGACAATTGGCCATGGCCAGTAATGCCCGAAACACATCTATCCCTCAATGTGCAAGATTCTATAATGAACTTGGACCCAACAAACATTCCATTAGAATCAAATGATGTCCCATCAAGTTCTTATCAGTCTCCTCTCAAAAAGTCGTGAACTGGACCTACTTTTGAGATTCTCCCTCCTGGATTTATGAAGGAAAGCGTATAAGCAAGGAGAAGAAGATGGAGATAGGAAGGTGTTATAAGCCGTTCAGAAAAGGAGATGGAGACATGTTGCTCTTCGTTATCATCAGATAGTAACTAATAAAATGTGCACCAATAATTGATCGCGTTGTTGTATTATTAGTGTGTGTGCCAATAATTAATCACATGACACCAATAATTGGTTGTGTCGATGTATTATTAGTGTGTGCCAATAATTGGTCACATGATAGCAATAATTGGCCGCGTTGTTTGTTTTATCTTTCTCCCATGCCTATATAAAGGCATGGTTGTATCGTTGAAGGACAGAGTTCCCTTAATAATAAAACCTGTGTAGTGTTTTTGCGAATCATGCAAGGCTAAATGCTCTCTCTCCTTCTCTTTAAATTCCTGTACGGTATTAGGAATCTTAAAATGATAAGATAACACCTTATCCTGGTAATGAGGCTATAAGGCCTTATGTTCAGAATAAGAATTTAGCTTGATACTAAGAGCCGGTCCTGACAAGTAAGAATTTAGCTAGATGCTAAAAGTCGGTCCTAATAGACAAGAATTTAGCTGAATGCTAAAAATCTGTCCCGACAAGGTAAGTCCTATGAAGGCACCATAGGGGACTGAATACTTGCATTCGCTAAGTTATGTGTCTCGTAAGAGGCACCAAAGGGATTGAATGCCTGCATTTGTTGAGTTTTGATAGTCCTACAAGGGGCACCAAGGGGACTGAATACCTGCATTTGCCGAGTTATGTTTTGAGCATAGATCATTGAAGCGTCTGTAGTTGATATAATCAACACTCAGAGCCTTGGTTTTGCACATTAAACAGGTGAGATTTGAATTTGAAACTTGTATTCAAAACGCATATCACCTGTTTGATAGATTGCCTGAGTGAAGTGCTGAAAAAAGTTTAGCATAATCGGAGTTTACAGCTTGAATTGATGCACAGTTACTTCGTTGTTTTGAATAATTATGTCCGACCCAGTGATTTCCTTTGATATTATGGCATGTCTTTACATTTTCGAGTCGGCCATGGATGAACAAACTTGCCGGTGAATCCTTACCAAAAAAAAACAAACTTGTCGGTGAATCCATTCCTTGTCAACGATGCTCGCGGTTAGAGGCCGCCATAGTCGGTCCATTCTTCTTTGTTTTAATGCGCATTTGTGTTTTTAATATGCTGGAATGGTTGTTGTTTTGAGTATTTCATTCGGTGGAAAGGTGGTTGCCAACGATGTTTTTAAGTTGGCTGGAATCGACGGCCGATGTTGCAGTTCGACAAAGCATGTTGGTCGTCGGTGTTGACCGTCGGTTGTCGGCGCCAATGTAGGCTTGATTTTAGTTCACCGGCGAAGGTCAGTCGATGTTGGAGACGTCACTCTTGGTGCAGGAAGTCTCGGTGAAGAAAAAGCAAGGAAGAAGACGATACGAAGAAAGGGAAAAGAAGAACCTAGTTGCGAATTGGTTTAAACTTGGGAGAGCCCAAGCTAGATTTAGGCTTAGTAATCCATTAGCCAACCTCTAGTGGTGAAGCCAGGGAAGGTCACGACAATGTGGTATATGGATTTGCATTTTGTCAATTTTATGTTTTGTGTTTTTGGGTCTGGCGCATCCTATTTGGGGGCGTTTGGGTATGCTCTGAGATAGCTTTTGCTTAGATTTGTGCTGAGCTAGTTGCTTTGTCTCTTTGATTGATTGAGGGGGGGGCTTCTTTCTTTGTATTGATCAAGAAGGACAGGGCTTTTTCCAAGAAGCAGTGAATAGTGAGAAGAGAAAATGGCTGGAGGTGGAGGAGCAACAAAATCAAATGAGCAGCGCCACACTCACCAGAAGATCAGGTGTCCAACAGAGGAAGCAAGCTAACAATTGGGAGAGGTGGAATGTTGAAAGTTCAGCACTTGGTTTCAGTTGCAAGATCTTCTGCTATGCACCAACACAACACATCTGGTTATCTGCAATCCAATCGAATTGCTTATGTTGAGTTCTTTGTGAAACCGGAGGTTGATGGTGATGATACATAAGCTTCTGTGACTGTATCAAAACCAGAGGAAGAACACCAATGGTTCATACGCCTTTCCAAAGCAAATTTAGTTCAGGTTACATCAGTATCAAAACTAGAGGAAGAATAACAATGGTTTTCAGCAACATGTTTGACTTTACTCTGTTATTTGCGGTTCCAAAAAAAAAAACTCGAAACTTGACCCGGCCCGACCCAAGGACTTGGGTTATATGCAGTCTTCCGTTTCGGTTCGGTATCATGTAAACCCGAACAGAACTGAACTGTTGACATCCCTAGCATCAATCCATGTTGTTCACATTACAGTCCCTTTGTCACGCCTGCATTGTTCTTTCACCTTCAATTTCATCCTTTCTTTGTGTTTGCTCGTTTGGGGTCGTCAATTGGAGCTTTTCGGCACCAATTAAGGATTTTGATGATCCCGTGCATTTTAGTCAAATATTATGATTCTCATACAATAATACCCTTTCATCAGGCGCAGATATGGCACATGAAAATCACCTGCTCGCTGTCCGGTATGAAATTTGGCTGCGGCGAGTTGAGGGGTCGATTGTGACACAGGTTACTACTTCGGGGTGTTAATTGAGACCAAATCCATGTTATGTTGCTATTTGCAAATTTGGCACTTCTTCAGGGTGTTTTTTGGAATTTTCCTCAAAGAAGTTTAACTTCCAATAAGGTTTGATTTCGACTCGCTACTTTGTGGCAGCATGAGACCATTATCAGTCAGATTCGCATAAGTAGGAAGCTGATGATACTGATCAACTTCCGGCAAAGCAATGGTAAAGAACGAAACTACGGATACAGATGGAGAAAGAATAAGGATTTGAGCATCTAGAGATGAATGTGGCAAATGGACTTATGATATGCACTTATAAAGCACAACTCCAACTCCAGTGAACCGCACTTCCAACACCGTCCCAGAACACGATATAAACATAATGAGAACTCATTTGAAAGAAAGACGAATACTGACACGACTAACTTATAACGGACACATAATTATGTTGAAATACTTTGGTAATGACCCTAATATGATGACATGACCCCATTTATTATCCTACTAACGCTTCATTCGGCAAATCTCAATCGGACTGTTGACACCTGACAACATACACAAACGGATGGCAAACATTTAAAAGGCTTGAATCCATAGGCGGACTTGACCAAAAAAAAAAAAAAATTCATAGGCGGACTTCAACTTTTTTGTGTTGTTGTTTCTTTGCACTTCTGTTTTCAACATTAGGAGTTTTATGAGCTATATATCATACATGTAAGGCAGTAACATGTCCACAAGTATCCAAGCCAAAGATATTAACATCATACCACTGCAATGTTTTCCATTTCAGTAACCTGTCTCCAGCTGAAATATCGAATAGCCTAATTGTACATTTAGCTGGTTTCTTTGAACCTTTCTCTCGTTTTAGTCCAATGGCTCGGATTCAATTCTCTCTACACAGGTCCCTGTGAGTGCGTCTAAGTGTAAAAGTACACGCTTCATCCGAAACGACACTGTAGATATTGCCAATATGATGAGGAGCCCTTGAATGACTTCACAAATAAAAGGCTGCCGGATTGAAGCAGTGTCTGTTAATGTACGCCAGACTCCATAGATTGGCCCGCTTTTAACTCTCTGTGGCAGTGACTGTCTTAGATTGTACGAGGTTGCGCCACGATGAAAACGTTAGGCCCCGAGACACAAGGTACAGTATGAATGCGACGTAGGCAGCCGTGAAACCAGACACGACGGTGCCGAACATAATGCCGGTTACTTCATTGGAGAAGAAATCCAGCAAAAGATAGCCGTTGATCACGATCACCAGAGCAGCCACGAGCCAAGAGATGATCTAGAAACAAGAAAGGACGATAGTTTCAGGGTTATTACCATGAGTACGATGAATGCCGATTCAAACAGTTCATTAAGAGATGTTTACTAATGTTTATCGAGCCAGAGCATGAGAAAACCAAATGCTTTCTTGCAAGCTACAAGTGCTTTTCTGATTTACTAGTGAAATCTCATCATGCCCAACTAGCTACGGTACTCCACAGTTCCTTCATACAACATCAGAAGCTTGTGAAAGCAGATGGCATTACAATAATTCTCCACAAAGAATGCGGAGAACTGACAATTGTTAAGATGATGAGACTTCATGAAAAGTTTGCAACCAAATCCACTCGATCACCAAAGAGTTATGATTTAAGTATTTCACAGACGAAATCAAGGTATCTAGAATGAGTTGCACCAGCGTCCCTGTAGGTTAAACCCTACTTTACTGCACATACAGGCATATAAATGTACGTGTATACAGCATAAGAATGGAAGTAACTAGAAAGAATCGCACGCTAAAGCATAAAAAATTATCCGCCGCCAGTAATGCAGAAGAAGACAGAATAGCGTTGGTAAAACTGAACTCACAATCACAATCTGCCATTATAATCACAACAAAATAAGAGGGAGGCTTTTTAGAGGCAAGCAGTTCACACATCAAAAACTCAATTTCTTTGATCCACTATCGATGGGGCTACTATCCACGTAGGCAATCATTTTCTTGTCCTTCTTACAACTAACATTCACGCCTTTATGTTCTTTCTGAGGTATACACTCGCATATTTGGCCTTCATTTAGCTGCTACTTGAAAGGCAATAAAAGAAAGCGAACAAAGAATAGTGCATCAATCAACATCGAAACGATCAGGGTACACAGCAGAAAAATGAAATTGCAGCATACCTTAAGAACAGGACCAATCTTAAAAGAGCCCATGATCTGCTCCCTGGAGACCAGATAGAGAAGAGGGATAAGTGCGAAAGGGATCTGTATTGATTGGAGCACGTTAAGCCACTCGTTCAGAACATCTAGCGTCTCCTCAGTATCGAAAACAAGAGCCACTATCATAGTCGGCACGATTGCACAGCTCCGCGTGATCAACGCCCTCAACCATTTCTTCAAACGCAGGTTAAGAAAACCCCCCATTATAAATTGCCCGGCATAAGTGCCTGTGATGGTGCTGCTCTGCCCCGCAGCTAACAACCCTATTCCCCATATGTACAGTATAGGGAAAAGGCCTCCCCCATATTTCTCTTGGAGATACTGCCCGGCATTTACAAGACCAATGCTGTTGGCAGCCGGAGTGCCGTAGAAACCCTTCGCAAAAACAGTCGTGACAAAGAGATTGATGATGAAGGAGATCACGAGGGCTGCAGTGGATTCTATTGAGTAATACCTCAGGGCTTCTTGGACCCTGCCCTTTTGGTTATGGTCAATCTCCCTCGATTGCACGAGGGCCGAGTGCAAGAACACATTGTGAGGCATAATAATGCAACCCACGACTCCCACGGCTTGCTTTATTGTTCTGGAGCTAAGTTTCGGGATCAACATGCCTGCAAAGAGAATTCGGTTTACCATCTATCCCCAAGGTTACTATTGTGGATCTCAGTTAAGCACAATCTGAGAAGAACAATTATAAGAAACTATTTATAATTACCCAAAAGCAGCTCGGTTCCACTTGGCTTTGCATCAGCAAACATCCAGGCAAATGCCATTGCCATCGTTGCAATAAGGAAGGCAAAAAATGCTTCAAGTTTCCTCACTCCATAGTTCTCAAGTAACAGAAAGATAAAGCTGCAGCAACAGAAATGGAGATTTCAGATTCAGGAAGCATTCTACGAATAGATAGCATAAATCACCCCTATCAGAAGCTTGTCACTTTTCTAGATGGGCTGCATTTGCTTTCAGACAGCAACTTAGGAAACTTCAACTCAATCTACTATTGTCATTATTCAGCGACTCTATTTACTCTATGAATTGGCCTGACCGAGCAAAATAGTAAATTCAAAATCTGACAACTTCTAAAAGGCCCGAGAAAATACTCAGTATAATTCCTTTCAAAAACTTTGGCATGTCATTAGAAAAACTGCAATTAACCCAACAGAGACAATCCTCAAAACATGAAAAAGAAAAGTAAAAATCAACCCACGGATAACTATCCTCTCCTGCAGAGAAAAGGCAAAGAAAATCCAAAAGGCCTCCGGCACACAACTCAGATTAAAGCCAACAACGAGCCTCAAACCCCACGACAAAGAGAAAGCTGGACGAAACAAAAACAGAACAAAATTTTATCAAGAAAACACCACAAAGACCGAAATTCCGCACCGACACCAAGACCCCTGCAAATTCACAAGGCAAAGGCAAAAGCTAACACAAATTAATTAAAAAAAATTTCCATCTTGCCAAAAAATTCCAGAAAAAAACAACTATGAAGTCACCACAAAGAAACAAATAGCAAGGATCGAAATCAAGATTCCACTTCAATCGAATCGAGAAGCTCACCAATCAGCGGCAGTGATGACGACGCCGGACCAGAGGGGCAAGACCCCATTGCTGAGAATCTTGATGGCGATGGCGCTGCCGATGACCTCCTGTATGTCCGCGCCGATGAGGGCCAGCTCGGCCATCACCCACAGCACCATCCTCGCCCACGGCGGGTACTCCTCCCGGCACAGCTCGGCCAGGTGCCGCCCCGTCGCGACGCCGAGCCGGGCGGAAAGGAGCTGGACCAGGAGCCCCATGGCGGTGGCCCACATGAGGAGCCACAACAGGGAGTAGCCGGCGATGGCGCCGGCCTGGAGGTCGCCCTCCAGGTTCCCGGGGTCGAGGAAGGCGATGCTCATCAGGAACCCCGGGCCGGTGAAGAGCCACAGCTTCCGCCACGAGAACGGCGGCGCGCCGCCGGAGGAGGACGGGCGGCCGGACGAGGCGGAGGAGGGGTCGTCGCCGCCGCCGCCGCCGGAGACGATCTGGACCTTCTCGGCGGCGTCGTAGGCGGCCTCCTCTTCCGTGTCGGAGGAGGAGTGCAGGAGGGGCTGCCGGCGCTCGTCTTGAGGTCCCATGGCCACAGAGAGGGAGGGAGGGAGGTTGGTGTTGAGGAAGTTAAGGTTTTGCTTCTCCGTTTCTCTCTCTCTCTCTCTTTCTTGGCTTTATCGTTACGAGACAAGGGAAGCTGAGAAAACTGCCACTATCCTCCTCCCCCCTCCCCCCCACACTCACTAGCTATTTCGTTTACGTTGTTTCCTTTTTTAATTTTTTTTAAAGTTAATATAACTAAAAGCCCCAAAATAGTATAATGATGGTAAATTTTACTTCGAATTAATTTTTTTGATTATCAAAAACTCTAAATCAATATACATATTACAAATTTACCCTCCGTTAAACCGATACATATGCGACAAACGCGGGGTAAAACCACGTACTGGTATCCGTCAACTGTCACGTGTCATCCAACTCAAGAATTCGACGATAAAATTTAAC